GTGGCAGGGAGTGGAATGATGGGGTTTCCAGGGAAGAGCCTTGTGGGAGCTGCAGGGCCTGTCCCATGGTTGTTGCTCAGGCTTTCTCAGGACAGCACTCTTGTTAAAAAAATGAATGTCAGTGTGTTTTCTCCAGTTGGGGGGATAGTTGTGTTGGTCTACTGTCTTCAGCTCAGTGCACCGAGCAGTGGGATGTGTCACACAGCCCCTGCAACTCGGGGCGGTCAGCCGGGTCAGCCTGGGGGGCTGGAGTCAGCGGTGGAGAAGGGACTCCTAGTGCTGTGTGAGTTGGTCTGGCTGCCCTGGTGATGGAGATTAGGGAGGTGCCAGCGCTGTCTTTCATGGTCCAGCCCTGAACTGTGAGACGGATATCGGCCAGGTGGCAGGTCATCCTTGCTGCTGCCTCTTGGTTCAGCTTTTTATTGAGGTACAACACACACAAAAAGTACAAACAACATCAAGTAGCCAAAATTAGACCCTCACAGAGCTTCCTGAGGGCCGTCCTTGGGCTCTGGTGCGCTGATTACCCAGAGTGGCTGGGCCGAGCAGAGGCGGTCACGTGTCTGTGCCTCTTCTTTGCCCTACCACCTGCCCGTGAGCTGGGCCTTAGGACCCTGGCAGGAGGTGTCCTTTTTTGTCCCTCGTGCAGTGGAGTGGGGTCACATCTAGCCAAGTTGCAGGAGTGCCTCTCTGAGCTCACACACAGCTGTTCCCATTGGCTTAAAGCAGGCCTTGGAAAATGGGCCACCGTGTGTGAGGCGCGTGGGTGGCACCTGCTGTGGAGCCGGGAGATGGCATTTTCCTGCAGGGCAGAGAGCAGCGTGGAGCCGGGCTCTGGCCTCTCTGCTGTCTGTGCACAGGTGGGCGGGCCGCGGGGTCAGGTGTGGCGGTAGACCTATGCTAGCCACGGAGGGCGTGGAGATTCGGTGCCCACCTCCAGCCGCCGTCTTCCCCTCCTCTTCCTCTCCTGTGACTGCGATCTTAGGCCTTGAGAAGAAGACCCAGGTCCTGCAGCCCAGTGAGAAGGCGACTGTGGCCTACCATGAGGCTGGACATGCGGTGGCGGGCTGGTTCCTGGAGCACGCGGACCCCCTGCTGAAGGTTGGGCTCCCTTTCCTGCTGCCTGGGTGGCTGTCTGAGCACCATCTTGTGGCCACGTAGGCACAGCACATTCAAGGGGGTGGCCCTTTGAATTTTTAAGGAATATTTTGGTCTAGAATTTGTCAAAAGATTTCTTAGAGCAACAGTCCCCAACCTGTTTGGCACCAGGGACTATTTTCCTGGAAAACAGTTTTTCCACAGACTGGCAGAGGGGGATGGTTTCAGGATGATTCAAGTGTATTACGTTTATTGTGCACTTTATTTGTGTGATTGTTACATTGTAATATATAATGAAATAATTACACCCCCCCCCATAGGATGGGGACCCCTGCCCTAGAGGGTGGGAAGGCAGAGCAGTGGATGTTGATTCCAGGCAGGGCCTCGGCCACCTGACTCCACAGAGCAGCTTTGATGTCAGACTCACTCTGAAGCCTTGGGTCTGACTGTTGGGCTTCTCCAGAGCTCCTGCAGGGCAGGCACAACAGAGGTGGCTCCCATGTGACCCTCATGAACTGCAGCTCCCAGAGGCGGGGTGCCCTCTCAGGGCGGCCCCCGTGGCGAGAGCTGGGTGAGGTGGGTGTGGGTGCTTTGGGTGAAGCTCCCGGAGGAGGCGGGGATGGTGTTTGGGAGATGACTTGGCCTCTTCCCGTCCTGCAGGTGTCCATCATTCCCCGGGGCAAGGGACTGGGCTATGCACAGCACCTGCCCCGGGAGCAATACCTCTACACGCGTGAGCAGCTCTTTGACCGCATGTGCGTGATGCTGGGGGGCAGGGTGGCTGAGCAGCTGTTCTTCGGGCGCATCACCACAGGGGCTCAGGACGACCTGAAGAAGGTCACCCACAGCGCCTACGCCCAGGTAAGGGGCGGCCTCCCCGGCACCTGGCTGCCAGCGGCCGTGTTGAGTGCAGGCTCACCCTGGGCTCTGCACACTCCAGATCGCGCAGTTTGGGATGAGCGAGAAGCTGGGCCAGGTGTCCTTCGACTTTCCTCGGCAAGGCGAGACCCTGGTGGAGAAGCCGTACAGCGAGGCAACCGCCCAGCTCATCGACGAGGAGGTTCGCCACCTCATCAGCACCGCCTACGCACGCACCCTGGACCTGCTCACTCGGTGCCGAGAGCAAGTGGAGAAGGTGAGCTCGGTCTCTGCCTGGTAGCCCGGTCACAGGTCACAGGTTGGGTCATGGTCAGGCTGCACCTGTCCTCAGGGGCCTGCTTAGGTTTGGGGCTGGCGGGAGCAGATGCCTGGAGTAGTCTGACAGGTGGGCCTCCTTTCCAGGTGGGCCGGCGGCTGCTGGAGAAGGAAGTGCTGGAGAAGGCCGACATGGTGGAGCTGCTAGGCCCCCGGCCCTTCGCCGAGAGGTCCACCTACGAGGAATTTGTGGAAGGTACCGGCAGCCTGGGGGAAGACACGTCCCTTCCTGAGGGTCTGAAGGGCTGGAACCGGGCACAGGAGGGGGACACGGAGCCGTGTGTGCAGGAGAGCCCCAGGTAGCTGGTGTAGCCACTGCCAGCACCTGCCACTGGATGGGACTTTGGGTGACCACCGCATACCCAGAGCCTTTGCAAAGCAGTTGCCAGAATCACCAGAAAACAAATTAAAACACTTAATAACTGCAAATGGGTATTTTAGATGAGGGTGCTCTGAACTCACAGAGAAGGGAGCTGGGAGCTGGCAGCAGCCAGCCTGAGAGGTGACTAAGAGGGGCTACCGTGAGTCCTTGGGCCCTGTTTCTAGAGGACAGCCAGGTCCTGGGTCAGAGCAGAGGGGTGAGGCAGCAGCGCTCTAAACCCCTGAGGCCAAGGGAGGGTTGGTATCTCCTGGGAGCCCTAAGTGTGGGGTCCAGCAACAGGCACGAGTCGGTGCTCAGTAGAGACAGGACAGGCTTTCCCAGGGAGCTCCGAGGAGAAGTACTGATGTGTGCTGCCCTAAAATCGCTCAGAGGAGGAGTCTTGGCCCAGCACAAGAGCCCTCAAGGTTTGCTGAGGTAGAATTGACAAAAGGAAAGTGTAAGCCAATTGTCAAGGAAAAGTAGACTTTTAAAGGAGCCATTTGGTTGGTGGAGCGCCAGTCTGTCCTTATGGAGGACAGCTAAGACCACACGCCTGTGGTAACTGTGGGGAGGATGGTGGTTTAAGTCCTTTCATCATCACTAAGCTGCTGTTCCCTGAAACGGCTTTTTGGAATCACAGAGCCCCCACCCCACCCAAGGGAGGGTATTTGTGGAGAGCAGTGGTCCTGGTGCCTGTTTGTGAGCCCTCTTCCTGGGGTTGGGCAGCTAAATAACAGGAAGGCAGCCCTGTTTTGGGAGTGGCAGGAGCAGTCAGACAGGAGGGCGTCGCTCTCAGGTGGGAGAAGGTGGTAGAGCTGCCGGGCTCCAGGGAGGACTGCGGGCTCCAGGGAGGACTGCGGGGCTGGGTTGCCGTCTGGGTGATGGGCCCCAGGCCGTTTTGAGGCCTTTAGCTGAAAGAGGCTTTGCTCTTTTTTGTCATTCAGAGTGTGATGAGGGCCCAGTGCTGTGGAGCTGGGTTTAGGATTAAGTGCTGTGGGGTTTAGTAAGGCTGTCCCCATTCTTCTAGCCCCAGAGCTTGCCTCCTGGACTGGCCCGTGAGTGTGCTGCGTCAGCCTCCCTCTTGGGGTGGGAGGATGGGTGTCTGGGTGGCCGAGGGAGGGGTGGCTCCACTCACTGTCCCCAGTTGCCCTCAGCTTCTCTCTTGGCCCAGCCCAGAACAGACACTGGGGCTTTGTGCTGTGTCTTCCAGAGTGTTGGTTATGTTTGCCTCCGAGCCTCAAAAATAGAATTTCCACCTGGGGACAAGCAAGTTCAACATATGCTCTTTGTAAAACATGTATCATTGGATTTTTAGTCTCTAGGGCTCAACCTGTATTGTGGCCTCCACCAGACCCAGATTAGCCGAGTCACTTGGGGTCCTGCTTGGGCCTAGTCTTGGTGTCCCCTCAAATGGAGGTGGGGGTGCTCCCTTGACCCCAGATGGCTTCTGTGACATTAGTGTCTGTGGCAGGTCCTCCAGGGTGCATGTTGTCACAGGGTCAAGGGAGGTCATAGCTCTGGGTGGGGCTCGCCCTGGTGGGGACTGATGGGCAGAGCCTAGGAGTCCGTCTCTTGCCTGGGCCTTGGCATGGTCGGGGAGTGGGGGCCCTGAGCTCCCACACCTGGCTGTTCCCTCCACAGACCTGTCTTCTGCAGCTGCCCCACTGCACCTTGTTTGGTCTGGTTGTGCCAGCCTCCCCCACCAGCCTCCCTGCCTGCGTCCTCTACAGGTGGCTCTTTATGTAAACCTGGAACAGTCTCCTGTTGTGGTTCCCGACCCTTGAACTGGACACAGCATGTCCCATTCTCTTTTCCTGTCCATCTTAAGTGTGACTTGGAGTTTGCCCGGCATCACCGTGACAGGTGAAGGCCCATCCCGCAAAGTGTTGGCTGGGCCCAGTGACACTTGTGGGCCTTTCTCAGCCTGCCTGCCTGCCTCTGCCAGATAAGGGCGCGGAGCTCGCTGGTCCTATTACCTGGGCCAGGTAGAAAGCAGGTCGGACCTGGCCGGCTCCATGTTCACCTCATTTCAGGAGGATTTAAGTGGGTGGGTGTTGGGCCTCCTCTTGGCCTTCTGGGACATGGCTCTTGGGAAGAGCTGTCGCTAGGGACTAACTGCTGCCCAGCCCAGGGCCACCTTTGTGGCCTCCTGTGGGCAGGATTTTTACTTCCTTAGTGACTCCTTTCTGGACAGGGATCCAGGGCACTTGTCCCTGAGATGTGACCCACATACGCACAACCTGGAGTGCAGCAGGGCTGGAGAATGACCCGAAGGCTGAGCCTTGCTCCAGGGCAGCCCCTCCCAGACCCTGGTGTCAGCTAGAAAGGAAGAGACTGTGGCCAGGCCTTGAGATGCGGGGTGGTGATGCTTTAATCCCACTCTTTGTGGATGAGATCTATGTCAGTTGCAGCAGGAAGGATGGAAAATGGGGAAGACCACCCTGGATGGTGGAGGTGTGGCCAAGGGCACGGCTGCCTTTGTGGGGTCAAAAGAGAAAGCTGCTTGGTTCTGTGAGATTGGAAAGCAGGGATGGTTTTCATTTAGGAGACCTGGTTGGGGCAGGACCTGGACTTGCCAACAGTGCAGACAAGCGGGGGAGGAGGGTGCGGGTCAGCAGGGAGCCTCCTGGACATACCCACACACAGCAGGAGTCCAGTGCGTGCCCAGGGCGTCTCTCCAGAAGAGTCCCGTGAGGATCAGAGCCTGTTTTCCTTCCCTGGAAATGTTTTCGTGGGAAATGGGGCATGGCAGGGTGGCTTGGGGACAAAAAGCAAGCTTAAACTTTCCCATTAAAACTGTTCTTTGACGGTTCTTTGCTATCAAACAAGAAGCTTATTCTGTGATCTTCAGCTCATGAAAAGCAGTGCTGGGAGGGGCTCGTTGGGAGCTCCTGACACCCCCACAGGAGAGTGGGTGGGCCTGTCAGTGCCTGGGACACAGTCACGTGGACCCAGAGGTGTGGGTGGGCCACGCAGCCGGTCTGTGGGATGTGGAGAAGGGACAGAAGGATGTGCCTTGTTTAGGGCTCAGGGTGGGGAAGAGGGTGAACCCCACCCCCCAGGCAGTCTGGGAGGTGTCTCGGGGTTGCGAGGCAGTCTGGCGATATTTGGTGTTTTGAGCTAAGGAGGAGATGGATGGAGAGACCAGGAAAAGCAGGCGCAGGTCTCAGAGGTGAGCCCGGGGAGGGGCCCTGGGGCTGGCAGTGCCTCCAAGGGGCAGAGGAAGGGAGCAGGAATGAAATCAAGGTGGAAACTTCCGGGGCTGACCCTAGCCCACGTGCTTGGCTGGACAGCATTGTGTCCTGTCAGCTACGACCAAACCTGCATCTCATGCTAAGCTTGGGGACCCCCAGGGGGTTCTTGGCAAGGTTCCCACAGGCTCAGGTCCCCCCACCCTGAGGCTACCATTGCGCACTCTGCCGATTGTCTCATCACCAGGCAGTGACTTGACGGTGTCGTCTTCCTGATCCAGGGTCCAGGAACGGGCTGGACATAAGGCCACTGGGCTGTGCTTGTGCTGGGGCTCCCAGAGGCACCCAGGGGCCCAGCGTGTCCCCCGGGAAAGCCAGCTGGTCTCTGAGTGAGGCCGAGTCCTGTGCCCAGCAGACGCCCTGGCCCAGGGGCTGACAGGGAACCTCCGCCGCAGTGCCCCTGGCCCCGGCTTGCTGTGTCAGGAGGTGATGGCTGGAGCCTCGTGGAGAGGGCAACGTCTGTCAGCAGGGCCAGGACCACCCCATGTGTCATCGTGATGGGGGCTGCAGCGCCCCCAGGCGGATGGAGATGCCTAGTCCTCCTGGGGCCTCTCCACCGTGAGAAATGTGTCCAGGATTGCGGCCTGCCGCTCAGGGTCGCCAAGGGGCTGCTTCTCGCGGTTCTGCTCAGCTCTTGTCCTCGTCCAGGAGGGGGAGCGAAGGCAGCCGGCCCTCGGGAGCGGGTGCAGCCCTGGCAGGAACATGGGAAGTGAAGTTCAGCACGGCCGAGAGGCCTGGTGGGTGTGTGGCAGCGGAGTGTGTGTCTGCCAGCCACCTGCCGATGCCCTGCCCTGGGCCCCGCGTTCCTGGGCTTGCACGCAGATGCCTGTGGTCCCTCTCTCACCAGGTCCCCCACCGCATACTGGGGTTCCCTGGCCCCACCAGAGACATGGCCGTTGTGGTCTGGGTGCAGCCTGGGCAGGGCCTCCCCTCCCTGTGAAAACCTGGCTCTGGCTGCTCTGGGTCACTCAGGGATGTGGCGTGTTCCACGGCTTGGAGCAGCTGAGCACACCTGAGGGCCCACAGGCCTCGCCCAGCCTCTGCCCGTCACGGGTCTCGTCTTGCTGCAGCTTGCAGCCCCACGGGCTGGGGGTTCAGGTGTGTTGGGGCCTGAGCCTCCCACGTCCTCAGGTGCAGGGGCCCAGGCCGGCCTGGCCTGGCTAACATGTGCAGGCCTGTGGGAAGGTGTGGGAAGCCGAGGGGCTGGTGGGCTTGTCCTGGAGGTGAGCTGGGGGCAGACTGCCCTTGAGGTAGGGCCAGGCCCCATTCCACTGCCCCACCCCGGGACCACAGGGGCAGCTGGTCAGCTGGCAGGATCCGCGCTGAGGCTGGTTCCTTTAGTGAGGTCCTGGGTGGCCAGGGATGGGGAAGCAGAGGCCAGGCCCCGCTGCCTGGTCAGGGGAGGTCTGGGCTCCTGTGCTCTCCTCCCAAGGCGGAAGGCCACATGGGTCACACCGATGTCCTTTCCTACTCACCGCCAGAGGAGACTAAAAGACACACTTGTGTCCCCACTAGAGGTGAATCCTGTACTCTGATCACAGGGCTTGGAAAGGGGACGTGAAAGTGGCCATGCTGTGGGGCCCCACTCGGGCAGGGTGTAAGCAGAGAGGGAGGGAAGGGTGCTGGGGCCAGCCCTCAGGCCAATGGCAGTGCTTCTGGGGGAACTAGAGGGGAAACTGAGTCAGTGAGCTGGGGAGGGGCCCGGGCTGGTGAAAACCTCCACCCCTACCTTGTGCTTGGTTTAACTTAGGTTAAAATTCACATCTAGCAGATTCTACTTTGGATGGACAGTGGCTTTGGGCTTTACTTGCTCACTGGAAAGGTAGAGTTTAGGAGCAGCACCTGCAGTGGGGGGAGACTCATGAGATGCAGGAAATGAAGTGGTGGATGCCAGACCCTCCCTGAGATCCCAGGACTTCCTGCAGGGCCTCAGCCCACCACCACCCCCTCCACCACAGGTCAGCCTCACCTGCTGGGGACTCGCTGGTAAGGTTCTCGTCGTCCGAGTCAGCAAAGACCTCGGCCAGCTCCTGGTCGGACATGTCGGTCAACTCGGTGAGATCCAGGAGGTCAAAGTGGACCTCCAGAGAGGAGACGCTGCTCAGGGGCTCTGGGGGCAGAGGAGGGACAGTTACCCCTCAGTCTGTGCTGCGTCCTCCCGCAAGGCTCACGCTTGAACCCCAGCCTTCTGTAAAGGCGACCTGGACCAGGGCGTTTGTTGTGCACACCCAAGGCTGCAAAGCTTTCTGAAGGTCCTCCGTTTTAGACAGGTCACCCGGGGCCCAGACAGCCAACGCTTTACGAGCGAGGGGCTTAGCACTAGACCCAGACCTGGTTTTTCAGGCTGTCTCTGAGTCTCTACCCGCTGGGAGTGTTTCTGCCTCAGTCCTAGGGGGGCTCTCAGGGTCCCCACAGAGTGTGCTGGGCTGGTCAGCGATACTTACGCCTCCTCTCTGTGACCTGCAGGAGCCCCGGTGCTGGTATAGGGATGCCCACCTCTTCTTCCACCACAGGCGAGTGGCAGCTGTCCCCTGTCCCATGGGCTGGGACACCCAGGGCAGCCTGCAGGACCTCAACCTCCTTACCGATCTCTGCGACCAAAGACACAGGGTGTTACCTTGAGGCCCACAGAGGCACCCACGTCACCACCAGGACACGGTCCAGGGAGGACCTGAGGACTGGGCACATCAAGTCCTCCTTTGAGTCTCTGGGCAATGGCCAGGGAGTGCCTAGGGGTGGCCAGATGGTGGCTGCCCCTCCCCCTTGGGCCCTGGCCACCTCCCTCTGACATTTAGGTCACTCTTGGTACTTGAGCACCAACAGATGTAGTACCAGGCAGACCTTGCTGTGGAGAGTTCCACATGGTCCCGTTAGCTCAGAGACCCCTGTGTTCTCAGACTGTTGCTGGCCTCCAATTTTTGGCCCAGCCCAGGATCCTATGAAGGGTCACTTGTGATTTCCATGCTCATAGTCTGTGGTTCCCTTTAATCCAGAACAGTCCCTCTCTCCTGTCTTTCCTCTGTGGACTGAATTTTCCTTTTATTTATTTACTTATGATTATTTTTTTAAGAGTCAGGGTCTCGCTCTATTGCTCAGGCTGGAGTGCAGTGGTGAAATCACAGCTCACTGTAGACACCAACTCCTGGGCTCAAGTGATCCTCCCACCTCAGCCTCCCGAGTAGCTGGGACCACCGTACCCGGGTAGTTTTTAAATTTTTTGTAGAGATGGGGTCTCACTTTGTTGCCCAAGTTGGTCTTGAACTCCTGGCCTCAAGCGATCCTCCTGCCATGGCCTCCCAAAGTGTTGGGATTACAGGTGTCAGCCACTGTGCCCAGCCAGTTTTTTTTTTGTTTGTTTGTTTGTTTGTTTTTTGAGACAGAGTCTCCTGTGTTGCCTGGGCTAGAGTGCTATTGTCAGCCTAGCTCACAACAACCTCAAACTCCTGAGCTCAAGCGATCCTCCTGCCTCAGCCTCCTGAGTAGCTGGGACTACTGGCATGCACCACCATGCCCAGCTAATTTATTTTTAATATATATTTTTAGTTGTCCAGCTAATTTCTTTCTATTTTTAGTAGAGATGGGGTCTCGCTCTTGCTCAGGCTGGTCTCGAACTCCTGAGCCCAAAGGACCCGCCTGCCTCGGCCTCCCAGAGTGCTAGGATTACAGGCGTGAGCCACCACGCCCAGCCCAGTTTTTCCTTTTAAAAACCAATGTTGTCTTACTTGAGTTCAAAATAATACAGTTTCTGGTTTTTATCTACAAGTCCAAAAACAACAGATGCTGGCATGGATGCAGAAAAAAAGGAACACTTAGACATTGTTGGTGGGACTGCAAACTAGTACAGTGTCTATGGAAAGTAGTATGGAGATACCTCAAAGAACTAAGTAGACCTACCATTTGATCCACCAATCCCACCGTTGGGTATTTACTCAAAGGAAAAAGACATTTTATAAAAAGACATCTGCACTTGAATGTTTATAGCAGCACAATTCATGATCGCAAAGAAGTGGAAACAACTCAAGAGCCCATTAGTATGTGAGTGGATGAATAAAACGTGGTATATGTATACCATAGAGTACTACTCAGCCATAAAAAAAAAGGTGAACTAATACCTTTTGTAACAACCTGCAGAGCCCCTAGGCACCTTCTCCCCAGCTGATCTGAAGAGGATCAGGAAATGGACGCAGAGCTGCAGTGCCTGCGGCCCTGGCCTCCTGGGTGACGGCACCTGCGTGGACCTGGGGGGCCCCCACCCTCCCTGGCGCCCCATCTCCAGTGGCAGGAGAGCCGGGCAGCATGGCTGTGAGCAGGTGACACGGCAGCTGAGCGGAGTGTCCTGCTGACAGGATGGTGCTCATGCCATGCCGGGGACAGCTGAGTGCAGTGTCACTGCGTGGCCCACTGTAGGCCTGGGGGCTGGCCAGGCTGTATGGGACACAGGATATCTGATTTCCACCTCTCCACCTGCATTTGGGATGTGGTTTCGGAGAATACTTGGAGGGTCAAGTTACACTCGGTGTCCTGGCCGCCCAGAGGGCACAGGAGGTTTGGACGCCTTCTGATTGGGTGAGCCCCGGAGATTTCGCCCGTCAGCAGGAGCATGATATCTGTGGGCGTGAGGGAGCCCCGGAGGGATGGAGCCATGCTCTGCTGGCCTGTGTAGGGCCACAGCTCCAAGACGCTCCCACAGTGTGGAGCTATGGCCATGGCTGCTGTGGCTCCATCCCAGCTGGGGGCTCCGGAAGGTGCTGCTGACTGTCCACAGCGTCTGGCTGGGGTGGGGTGGACTGGGGGCCTCAGACCTGCTGGGCCCGTGATAGAACAGGCACTGCCCCTCCCTCCCCAGGCACAGCTGGCACAGACCCCTGACAGGGTGGGGAAACCGAGGTACAGAGGGCATAAGTCACTTGCCAGGAGACTCAGCTTAAAGGATTCCCAGCTGAGGAAAGGCCACAAGGACAAACATGCCCAGGCTTACAGCCCTGGCACGGGTACCCTCATCCCTCAACTCTACCTCTGTCCCTCCTCAGGCCAGAGGGACACCCCCGACAGCCCCCTGAAATCAAGGAAAGCTGGGGTGTGGTGAGTGTACTTCTGCATAAAACCCAAGCCCTCACCTGGGCAGTGGCTCTGGGTCAATAATCATGACAGCGGCTCATGTTTTTCTGGTACTTTGTGCCAGGCATAGCCCAGCATTCTGTGTTTATCAACTAACTTCATTTCACCTAACTCTGACTCTCAGCCACGAGGGAAAGATCTGAGTTTTTTACTTTAGAGATGAAGAAACTGAGGCACAGACTGGGTCAGCACCTGTCCCAGGGCTGACCAGGGACCAGAGTGGGAGCGCTCAGCTTGCACCTGCCAGCCTGTTTCTGGTCAAGGCGTGCCAGTCAAGGCTGGGGCAGGATATCCTGGCACAAGGGCCGGCTGAGGGCGAAGGCCCAGCTTGCCGGCATCGGTTCCCTAGGCCCCAACCTAGGTGGGACGTGGATTTCTGAAAGAAGGTGGGATGGAGGTGGGATCTCTGTGCACAGCCAGCCTCTCACTTGCTGAGGCTCATCTGGACGAGAAGGTGCTCATTCATTCATTCATCCACACCTTCATCCCACCAGGACTTCCTAAACATTCCTTCTGTTCTGGGGACACGGCAGCGTGAGCCAAACAGGTGGTTTCTGCCCGCAGGCAGTGCCAGCGAGCAGGGAGGCCACTCCCTTTGTAGAGACGGCTCTGCTGGGGTTGGGAGCAGGTGTCTGGGGGGAGCTGGGTGATACCTGGGGGGAGGCTCTGGTGCCAGCATGGAGCATGGGAGGGCCCGGGCTGCAAATCTGAGGGACGGCCAAGGGTCACGAGGCGGGCCTCGCAAGCAGGGCGAGGGGGCGAGTGCGGGGGACGTGGCTGGGCTGTGTGTGGTCACGTGGGCGTTGTCAGGACTTGGGCTCTACGCTGAGTGAGGTGGGAAAAGCTGCCACAGGGTTTCGACCCAGTATGAAGCGTCTACCTGCGTTTTTACCTCGAGGCCAATGAGGACACGGCCTACTGGAAGGGAAGTCTGCAGGCCCTGCCCCACATCCTCCACGTGTGCTGAGATGGGCCCCAAACAGGACCTCAGCCAAATAGCGCGTTCCTTCCCCAGCGTGCACAGGGACGGGTCTGGGAATGCCAGCCACCCTCATCATAGATCTGGGGTCACAGATGCTGCAGACGGCCCATGGGACAAACTCCAGCCCTCTTACACGGGCTCTAAGAACCATATCTTTTTGTATTTTAACATCCCGGAAACAGCAATGCATCTGTAGCTGACGGAATCTTAGAGTTGATGGAATTTGGTCTGCGAACTTTTGAAGTCGCCAGGTATCAAGTTTTGTTTCTTTTCCATCTCCCTTTGGCAGCGGTCTGGTCTTTATTCTCATGCCCTCATGCCCTCACCTGTGTTAAAGCTGTGAGGAAGGAAAACGCAGAAGATGCAACTTTTGCCATCAAGAACACTAATGTTGGCCGGGCGCTGTGGCTCACGCCTGTAATCCTAGCTCTTGGGAGGCCGAGGCGGGCGGATTGCTCAAGGTCAGGAGTTCAAAACCAGCCTGAGCAAGAGCGAGACCCCGTCTCTACTACAAATAGAAAGAAATTAATTGGCCAACTGATATATATATAAAAAATTAGCCGGGCATGGTGGCGCATGCCTGTAGTCCCAGCTACCCGGGAGGCTGAGGCAGAAGGATCACTCGAGCCCAGGAGTTTGAGGTTGCTGTGAGCTAGGCTGACGCCACGGCACTCACTCTAGCCTGGGCAACAAAGCGAGACTCTGTCTCAAAAAAAAAAAAAAAAAAAAAGAACACTAATGTTTTGGCTAGAGGAATGTGATGGGAGATGGGCACCTGAGGCAAAATGCCGGGACAGATGAGGCCCCCAGGAGGGCAAGATTGATTTTCAGTGTGTAAGTTGTGCAGCCACTGTGAAGAAGAGGCCAGCGTTTCCTCCAGTTAAATCTAGCATTACCACATGACCCAGCAGTTCTATTCCTAGGTGTATTCCCAAGAGAAATGGCAACGTGCACACACACGAAGACTTGGACAGTTGACCAACCTTGCACAAAACACGTCTGAACTGAGCAAGCCACTTATACGTGGATTTTGTTCTGCTCCTGCCATGCCTGGGACAGCAAAACCAACCCCTCTTCTTCATCCTGCTCTTTGGACTACTCAACATAAAGACAACAAGGATGAAGACCTTATGATAATCCACTTCCACTTAATGAATAGTTTTTTCTTACGATTTTCTTTTTTCTAGCTTACTTTATTGTAAGAATATAATATATAACTTGCATATATATAACATATAAAATATATGTGGTTTTTTTGGTTTTGTTTTTGTTTTTTTGAGAGTCTCACTCTGCTGCCTGGGCTAGAGTGCCGTGACGTCAGCCTAGCTCACAGCAACCTCAATCTCCGGGGCTCAAGTGATCCTCCTGCCTCAGCCTCCCAAGTAGCTGGGACTACAGGCATGTGCCACCATGCTCAGCTAATTTTTTCTATATACTTTTAGTTTACCAATTCATTTCTTTCTATTTTTAGTAGAGACGGGGTCTCGCTCTTACTCAGGCTGGTTTCAAACTCCTGACCTTGAGCAATCCTCCTGCCTCAGCCTCCCAGAGTGCTAGGATTACAGGTGTGAGCCACCGCGTCCGGCCAATTTTTTCTTCCTTAAGATCTTTTTTCTAGCTTACTTTATTGTAAGAATATAGTATATAACATGCATATATATATAATATATAAAATATGGGTTAATCGACTGTTTATGTTGCCGGTAAGGCTTAATGTCAACAGTGGTAGTTAAGTTTTTGTTTTGTTTTGGTTTTTTTGAGACAGAGTCTTGATTTGTTGCCCAGGCTAGAGTGAGTATTGTGTCGTCAGCCTAGCTCACAGCAACCTCAAACTCCTGGGCTCAAGCAATCCTGCTGCCTCAGCCTCCTGAGTAGCTGGGACTATAGGCATGCGCCACCATGCCGGGCTAATTTTTTCTATATATATTAGTTGGCCAATTAATTTCTATTTATAGTAGAGATGGAGTCTCGCTCTTGCTCAGGCTGGTTTCGAACTCCTGACCTCGAGCAATCCGCCTGCCTCGGCCTCCCAGAGTGCTAGGATTACAGGCATGAGCCACTGCACCTGGCCAACAGAGGTAGTTAAGTTTTGAGGGAGTTAAAAGTTATATTTGGATTTTTAGCTGTGCCAGGTTGGTGATTCTAACCCCTGCATTGTTCAAAGGTCAATTGTACATGAATATTGAGAGCGGCGTGATTCACAGTAGCCAAAAGTGAAAACAGTGCAAATGCCCATCAGGAGATCAATGGATAAACAAAATGTGGTCTGTCCATACAATGGAATATTATTCAACCATAAAAATGAATGAAGCACTGACTCAGGCTACAACATGGATGAACCTTGAAATCATAGCGAGTGCAAGAGCCAGACACAAAAGGCCACATATTTTATGACTCCATTATATGAAGTGTCCAGAATAGGCAAATGCATAGAAAGATTCATGATCGCCAGTGGCTGGGGTGGAGTGGAGAGTGGGTACAGGCTTTTCTTGGGGGTGATGAAAATATTCTAAAATTGGTGGTGAAGACTACAAAACTCTGAATATACTAAAATATGGAATCATGTACTTTAAAAGGGTGAACTTTAATAATATCTCAAAAATAATCCTCTGGGTGAGAAAGTGAGACCCTATCTGAAAACAAAACAATCCTCGATGGAAACACAGGTGCAAGGATGACCTTGGCTGGAGTCGATGGGCAAAGCCTGGGGAAAGAGACACTCACACGTGCTGGGTGCCTGCCACATACCCGATACCGGGGTCAGCCCGAGGCTGTGACTGGTCAGGAAGTCTGGGTTCCCAGCAGCTTGCCTCTAGGTCACTGTTGCATTCCCAGGACCTATGCTTGACCTTGGCATGCAGTAGGTGCACAATAAACATTGGTGAGTGAATGAGCCCACACCCCCAGTTAGTATGTGGCTATGTCAGGAGCCACAGAGTTGGTCTGACACCTCTCCACGAGCTCTTATGGGAAGAAGGAACAGATTACCCGTTTGTGAGGCTGCTGCTGCTCTTGTCAGCAGTGACACAGGCAGGCATGGGGGCAGGGTGCTGGCCACCTGGCTGAGCCATAAGCTGGGCAGGCACAGGCAAGCAGGTGTTTCTGATGCGCCAGAGGGGACCTCGTGTGGGGTCACAGCAATGTCCTGGTCCTCAGTCCAGCACAGCCCTGTCAAGGGAGGGCCCAGCCCCCTGCAGGAACTGCTGGTCTGACTGCTGGGTGGGCACTGAGCAGCCTCAGCCCTGCCCCCCAAGGCTTCCCTGAGGGCTGATTGCCGATACCTTGTGCTCTGCTGCTGACCTATTTTCCAGCACATTCGTGATTCGAAAACCTGGCCCAAATCTCATGTTCCCTGCTGTGCGCCCAGAGCCTCCAGAAGCTACTCTGCACACAGTGCTGCACGAATGAATGAATGAACGAACGAATTAATGAAGTGAGTAATGAGTATCATAAAAACCAAAAGGGCTGCAGGGAAGAAGAGGTGGTCACAGAGGTAGGAGCACCTTATCTCCCCAGCACCTTTGTCCCTGGATTCAGACCTTTCGATAGACTGAGGTGGGCTAGAGCCCTGGCTTCCAACAGCACCAGGTGGGGCCCTCTTCACCCACTGCGTATACTTCTCACTTCCATGTTCTGCATACTTTGATATTAAGAAATTATTGTTAATTTGTTTAGGTGCAAAAATAGTTTTTGGGGTGCTGGGCGTCATGGCTAATATCTGTAATCCCAGCACTTTGGGAGGCCGAGGTGGGAGGATTGGTTCAGGCCAGGAGTTTGAGAGCAGCCTGGTCTCAAAAAAATAAAAATAAATTAAAAAATATTTCTTTTTAACAGATGGGGGTCTCTATATGCTGCCCAGGCTGGCCTTGAACTCCTGAGCTCAAGCAATCCTCCCACCTCAGCCTCCCAAGTAGCTGGGGGAATTATAGGTGTGTACCACCATGCCTGGCAAAAATAGTAATTTAATGATGCTTTATAAAAATCTTTTAGAGATCATTTCTGAAATATTTATGGATGAAAAAATATGTCTAAATTTGCTTCAAAATACTACTGAAGGGTCGTTGGGGATGGTCTGGCTGAGCAGGCTGTGGGTCTGGGGGCTGGGTTGTAGTACATGGGGCTTTATTATATATATATATATATATTTTTTTTATTTATTTATTTTTTTGAGACAGATTCTTGCTTTGTTGCCCAAGCTAGAGTGAGTGCTGTGGCATCAGCCTAGCTCACAGCAACCTCAAACTCTTGGGCTCAAGCAATCCTGCTGCCTCAGCCTCCCCAGTAGCTGGGACTACAGGCATGCGCCACCATGCCCGGCTTATTTTTTCTATATATATTAGGTGGCCAATTAATTTCTTTCTATGTATAGTAGAGATAGGGTCCCACTCTTGTTCAGGCTGGTTTCGAACTCCTGACCTCGAGCAATCCGCCCGCCTCGGCCTCCCAGAGTGCTAGGATTATAGGCATGAGCCACCGCGCCTGGCCTATCATGATATTGATATTTGACTTTTATAGTTTTCAAAGGTACGTGAGAACTGAAGACAATGACAATCATAGTCCCCAACGTGTGACCTCATGAGGTCCCACAAAGTAGAGATCACCAGCCCCTTTGCAGACAAGGAGACAGGCTGAGGGTGTGGAGAAGTGTGAGCCCTCTGAGGACGGGGCTCTGCCTGTCTCGCTGTGCCCCACTGCAGGAATAGCACCCACCGGAGTGGGAACCAGCAAAAAATACCTGTGCACTGGATGAGTTAGCCCTCGGAGGCCCCCAGCCAGGGAGTGACGGACTCAGAAACTGAACCTGCTCTTGGTGCCTTTCAGCAGCTGGGAAGTCTCCCTTCCTTTCCCCGAGGGAAAAGAGACAAGATGTTAACCTCCTCTTCCCAAATGCCTCACCTCTGTTTTCTCCCTGGGCTTCCACAGCCCTGCACGACAAGGGGGCTCTCTCCACTGACAGACGTGGAAATGGAGGCTCAGAGGGGCCCAGCTGCTTTAGGGCCCCAGCATCTGAAGGCTCTCAAGTCACAGTCTGGAGACAACGCTGGACTCCTGAAGCCCTTGCACTCCGACTGCCCCACTTCCTGTGTCCACTGGGAAGTCCCAGGGTCCTGGGACTGTCAATGGCAAGAAAGCTCTGAGTCCCTCCCACAAGTGACAAAAGAGAAAACCCAAACCTACTAGTCTAGTCCCTGGATGCCTCTGGTGGTGCTTAGACCACGGTGACAAGGGCCCACACAGGACATCACCCCCACCTTGGGCTACAGATACACAGCGGCAGGTGGACCCACTGCTTCCAGACAGACAGTTCTGGGGACAGCCCTTTGGGCTCCGGAGAAGGCCCCTGTGTAGTTAGTGAGGGGAAGGCTGGCTTGTAACCCCAGGCACCTGCTGGCTCCCTGGCATGGGACCCCCCCACCCCAGGAAACCCAGGAGGTAGTGGCCCTGGCCAGGCAGGGGAGGCGTCTGCAATTTCCATCCAAGTTCCTAGGCCCATGGAACCTAGAAAACCCTACTGGAAAGAGCGGTGGGAGGGAAGGGGGTGGTTCTGAGAGTTTTCCTCCCATTACCAGCCACATCCAGCCTGGAGCCAGACTCCAAGGGGAGAAACCTGCGGTAGGACCGCAACCGTCAGGGGTGCCTCCCCAGCAGCTGACAGGGGCTTCGAGGAGAGGACAGTCCATGCATACCTTCCTCCCCTCCCAGATGTGCGCGCTCCTGGGCCTCGCCCCGACCAGCCACCACTGCAGCCTGGGGAGCCCCCAGCAGGCCGCGCCCCGGCACATCCCCCACGCCCCCACCGAGATCCTATCTCAGCCCGGAGCCCCTTGTAGGATGTCTGCCTCGCGACCCCTCTCCCCGCCCCTGTCGCTGCTGGTGCGAACAAAGCGGACACACTAGCAGCGCGCAGCGTCGCCTCCGGACCACCCGGACTAGGACCCCGAACTCTGGCCCCGGCACGCCTTTGCCCCGCTCCCGGGATCCCCGCTGGCTCGGCGAGGAGGGGGTTCAGGACGGAACTCTGGGCCACCCACCGAGGAGCGCGCCAGGCAAGGCTGCCCAGACCGGGAGCGCAAAGAACAAGGGGGCGGAGACTCGGTCTGTGCGCCCCCAGTCCCGCGCGGGGGCCGCTCGGGGAGGTGTCCCCCGCAGGACCGACAGCCTCCCTCCCCGCCCCCCGGCTCTCGGAGCTGCCGGCAGCTCCCGGGCGCGGCCGACCGGTGGGCCTGGGGGGAGGGGCTGCGGCTCGCTGCCGGGAAGGCGCAGCCTGGGGGTCTTGGGGGCCGGGACCCTACTCACCTCCCGGGCCAGCGCCCTCCGGGGGCTCCATGCAGCCGGCGGGGTCTGAGAGGGGCACGGGCAGCGGCAGCGTCACCCGGCCCGGGCGCCCCAACAGCTGCGGCGGCGGCTCGGCCTGGGCTCCCGGCGCAGCGCATCGGGGCAGCAGCCTGGGGGCCGCGGCGGCGGGGAGGAGCCCGCGGGGCGGGGCGCGCAGCTGCTCCAGGGCCCCGGCCCCCCTCCCGTCTGTCCCCGGCCGGCAGGACAGGTGCGGCCCCGCCCCGCTCCGCGCGCGCCCCCTGCAGGCCCGGGCCCTGCGGAGCCCCCTGCACCGCCGACTTCGCCCGGCCGCGGACCCCACCCCCGGCCGGGTGTACGGGGCTCCCGCGTACTCATGGAGCAGCAGCGCGGGCTTCCGTCCGTTTGCTCACCTCCGGGTATTTTGGGGGCGCCCGCTACGTGCAGGTGCCTCTTAGGGGCGGGAGTGGGGGGAGTGGGGCACACGGAGGGGCCTGTGCAGCATCGACACCCTTGGGCGCTAAGCTTAGAGTGGTGGAGCACGGTAAATGCTGCGCATTAACACAGAGGGGGCTGGGGGCGAGAAGTGTAGTTGGGAGGCTGGAGGGGGGCAGGGTGCGGGATGGGCGTTCAGGGGAGCGGGGCAGGCAGGGAGGACGCCCTGGGAAAGGAATGCAGGGCCCGGGCGTGCAGTGAAGTTCCACCTCCAAACGTGGTCTGCTGCACCAGGCCAGCACGCAGTCCCTGGGGTGCGGACTCTTAAGCGCTCAGGGTGTGCGCCACGCTTTGTGCCCAGGTCTTCGTGCACAGAGCGTGTATCTCATGGCTTCTCCCGGTGACTCTACGAAGAAGGTATCCTGACTTTCTGGGTGAAGAAGCTGAGCACAGAGCGGTAGGTAACCTGTAGGTTGCCCATCCAGGTGCTGGAAGTCAGAAGGTCCAACTCCCAGCTCATGCACTTTTCCAAAAGCAAAACAAACCAAAGAAAAGCTTCTGGGAAGAAAAGTTTGTTCCTATCTGGGAATGGAAAAGGTTGGCGGAAGAGGGCATGAACTGATGGGTGGACTTCCATAGGCCCAGAGTGCAGGAAAGGCTCCGGCTCACAGGTGGGTGTCTGTGTAGCTTCAGCCAATCAAAGTCACTACCGAGGCCCTGGCCGCCCACCCGGGCCTAACTGCCCACGCAGCTCCAGTTTCAGGGCCTTTGATCCTGAAAGTCTGTCAGTGAGACAGGCTAATAGTTCCCATGTTTCTTTAGTTTACAAAGCAAACAAAAGTAAAAACTGCTGTTTAAAACCCCTCTAGAATGGTTTCATGCCCCACTAGGACCAGCTGAGCCACTGGCCTCCCTGATGCCCAAGAGGTGTTTTTACCTCTCAGGGATGAAGCCGGGCGGGTGGTGGGATGTGAGCAAGCTAGTGGCCACAGTGGGTGGGCTGGGGACTCTCAGAGTCACTGGGGTGGCAGTTTGTGTTTTCTCAAAGTAGCCACAGCCGTATTTCTAGTCCCACATGTCTTCCAGAACCTTCTATTCCCATCAAGACTCTCCCCATCCGTGCTGCTTCTGTCTGAACATTGTTGGGCCTTGTGACTCCTCCACCAATAGGGTGTGGCAGAAGAGATGTCATGTGACTTCCAAGGCTGCAACACCAGAAGGATTCAGCTCTCTGGAAAGGTCCCTACTGGAACTAGGCTACTCACAACGAGGCTCAGGCTCGTGAGGAAGCAGGTACCCTGAGAGACCACCTGTGTGTGTTCAGGCTGTTGGTCCCGCTAAGGTCTCAGCCAACAGCCAGACTCAACTGCCAGGCGTGAGTGAGCCCCGAGATGGTTCCAGACTCTGGCTTTGTGTGTCCTGGAGAGGGTGGTGAGTGGGGCTGAGGTGAGCCGTCCCCACAGTCTGGAGCAAGTTGCAGATTTATGAGGAAGACAAATGTTGTCATTGTATTAAGTCACTACGTTTTAGGGTTACCTGTTATGCAGCCATAGTAACTGCAACAGTAATTTATGTAATAATGATTCTCATTTGAGAGATGAATAAATGATATAGATGGTGGTCTTGTCTAATGTTGCCCAGTTGGCAATTCACAGGCAGTCTGATTCCAGGGGCCAATGTCTTTTTATCTTTCACTTCTCACTAAGAACATTTTCAATCATAGGAAAGTAGAGAGAATGGTACAGTCAACCCACATGTGCCCATCACCCAGGTTCAACAATTACCAACTCACTGGCCAATCTGCTTTCCTCTCTATCCTCAATCACCTGTCTCCTGTTGGATCTTTCTGAGGCAAATCCCGTACATATTATATCATTTCATAATGACAAATACCTCAATATTTATCTCTAAAAGAAAGTCCAGTCTTCTTAAACATCACCCTTTTTAAAATTTTTAATTATGGATACATAACAGTTGTACATGTTTATGGGGCACATGTGATGTTTTGACATAGACATACTGTGTAATCAAATCAGGGTAATTGAGGTATCTGTCACCTCAAGCATTTATCATTTCTTTGTGTTAGGAACATTCCAATTCCACTCTTTTTGTTATTTTAAAATGTGCAAAAATTGTTAACTTTTAAATGCTCTTGTTATTCTAACATTCAGGACTTTAGCAAGTTGTTGCAGTGGCTGAGGCACTTTACTGGAAGACTGAATGGGAGTCAGAAAGACCCAAACATTAGACAGAATAGCCAGTTGGTTTGTATGTATTAACATTTGCTCTGGGATATCACAGGAAACTCAGATGCCATTTATCTGGGTTTCTATGCTGCATAGTTCGATGCTGAATGAAAGTATCTTATGCCACATATGTGAATAAAAGGCTTTTAAAAAATATCAGAACTAAAATTCAATATGAAAAGAACATGTTGGAGTGGGCCTTGTCAGGAGCCCAGGGAGTCTGCAGCCAAGGTGCCCTAAACTAGTCACCTCTGCAATCCCCAGTGATAGACCAAGCTGTGCTGTTGGTTTGTGACAAATGAATACCCTGTGCAGGCTATCCTGAGCTAACCCTCCTACTTTTGCTCTTTTTGCTGAAGGTAATAATTGTTAATATGTTTATTTAATTCAGGACTGCCAGCCAGACTTTTAAAGCAAAAAGCCAATCAGCATGCAGCACCTAGCACACTGGGTCTCTGAAGTAAGTGTTAAATAATAAAAATTACCCTGCTGTGCTATCCACCTGTACTGTTGGCTGCCAAACCTCCTCTGGGAGACCCCCTCCACCCCAGCCTTGGAGGAGAAGCCCCTATCAGGCCTGTGGAGTCCGGCACAGTGGTGCTGGCTGCTGGTTGCACAGGCACAGTAACAAGGCTAGACCTCACAAAGGCCTTGGGGCTTACTATAAATAAATCGTGCACACTGAGTCAGGGAGGTCCTTCCAACTGGTCCAACTGGCTGCTTCTTTCCAAGAACAATCAGGGCTTGAGTGGGGGAACAGGAAGCCCCTTGAGGGCTCATCACTGTGGCTCTCAGATTCCCATCACTGTGTGGGTGCCTGAGGCCTGAGCAAGCCCAACTCCTAGGGCATCTTTCTCCCTGAACTGGGCAGGAAAACCTGAGCCCCCAGTCTTCCTTCACAACTCTCTAGGGGGATTAGATTATGGAATCTTTATCCCAAAACATATGGGAGAATAAGACCTACTGGAAGGCCACTTTTTAAAAAGATGCTAAAGTTGAGAACTTGGGAAAAAAGGCAACCAATGGCATGTAAAGTTGGGTACCTGCTTATGACAAACGCTCAGCCTTCTGGGTGATATAGATTGTTGGGTGTGGGTGATAGAGTGGTTGTTGGGAAGTTTGCTTTGGAAATGGTTAGCAGTTTTCCGAGTAAGAGGTTATAAAAGGAAAATAACCTTTTTATGCAGTGCCTCTGGCAGAAGTTTCTCATATTTACTCATCCATGAGTGGGGGCTGGGTTGGGGCACAGAGGCTGCCTCTTCAGGTAGAGCAGTTTATTTTTGTGAAGGGAGCACTGTTGATTTCAAAATGTTGTAGCTAATCTGGAACATATTTTTCTTTCCTATTTTTGTTGTTTTTTTGAGGGTTTGTGTAAACCCAGTTATATTGAGGGATCTGCAAAGGTGGGCAGGGTGCAGGGAGTCCCGGGGGGGCCGAGTCTCAGCCCCAATTTGAATCTAATTCATATAATGTCTTGAAGCCTTGGATGGTGGGTTGATCATTCATTCAGTAATTCACTCATTCATTCTCTCACTTATCCAGCCATTCAACACTTCTTCATTGAGCAGGTGTGTGCATTGTTCTAGGCGCTGCAGTACAGAGTGAACGAAACAGTTCTTCCCCCTTCATGGAGCTCAGGTTCTAGTGGAGGATACCAGCATTAAAGGAAACACATATGGCAACGAGATTCTTGGGTTTGTTTTTTTTTTAGACAGAATCTCGCTCTGTTTTCCAGGCTAGAATGCTATGGTGTCACCCTCGCTCACAGCAACCTCAAACTCCTGGGCTCAAGCAATCCTCCTGCCTCAGCCTCCTGAGTAGCTGGGACTACAGGCATGCACCACCATGCCGGCTAATTTTTCTAGATATTTTTAGTTGGCCAATTAATTTCTTTATGTTTTTAGTAGAGACGAGGTCTTGCTCTTGCTCAGGCTGGTCTCAAACTCTTGACCTCCAGTGATCCTCCCGCCTTGGCCTCCCAGATTGCTAGGATTACAGGCCGGCCATTGCAACGAAATTCTTTCTTTCTTTTTTTTTTTTTTTTGAGACAGAGTTTCGCTTTGTTGCCCAGGCTAGAGTGAGTGCAGTGGCGTCAGCCTAGCTCACAGCAACCTCAAACTCCTGGATTCAAGCATGCCTGGCTAATTTTTTCTATATATATTAGTTGGCCAATTAATTTCTTTCTATGTTTTTATAGTAGAGATGGGATCTCGCTCAGGCTGGTTTTGAACTCCTGACCTTGAGCAACCTGCCTGCCTCGGCCTCCCAGAGTCCTAGGATTACAGGCGTGAGCCACCGCGCCCGGCCTGCAACGAAATTCTTAAGGGACGTGGGGGAGATCATTGTCCCGGAGATCTTCTGGACTGTCGCAACCCCGGGGCTCCTTGCAGACATGAGTTGCTAGGGACGCACTCCCGCGGTTTCCAGGGCCTGTGGCGACGGGCAGAGTATCGCGAGGACCTCCGAGACTTCGCGCGGGATCGCCCCGCGGTTGCTGGGAGACGGCGCAGCCTCCGCTGGGCGGGCGTGTTGGTCAGTGCGTCGCAGCCTGACCAGTCTGCTGGCGCCATGGTGAGGAGAGCGGGGAGCAGAGCCTGGGGTCCGCGCCGGGGTCCTGGGGCTCCCGGGTCTGTCATCCCTGCGCGCACAGCGACCCCGAGACAGCGGGCCCTGAGCTCCAGGACCTCCTGCGCCGAGAGACCCCTGGGCGGGGAGGCCTGGGCCTGCGGGGTCCCCTGGACTTGCGCTCACTGAGACCGCAGGACGGGGAGGCCTGGAGCGCGGGTTCTGGAATTGAGGACTCGGTGCACTCGTGGAGTAGCCCTGGGAGAGCTCAGGGTGCTCCGGATCCTGGGCCCTGCACGCACTCGGAGCTGAGAGACCCGGGCTCTCCGGAATCCCGTGCTCACAGGGCTGGTCGTGGAAGCCCCCGGGACACACAGGGCCCAGTGTGCACGGTCTGCAGAAAAGGGAACCTGGGTCTAAGGGATTTCCATCCTGGAATGGAAGACTCGGTCTATCGGATCCTTGGGACCAAGGGTTTCTCCTCGCCGGGGCTCTGGGGCACACAGGGGTCTCCAGGGAGAGGTGGGGGTAGGGGTCACCCTAGGGTGTCTGGGAGGGAGAGCCGGGGGTTATACCAGGGTGGCTAGAGATCCCTCTACACCAAGGACATCCTAGGTACGGGAAGTACGGTTGCCTTGGAGAGCCTGAGGGAGTTAGGCCCATACTGAGAAGAGGAAGGTGGGAACTTGCTGCCTTGTGCTCCTGCTCCGAGTCTTGTGTAATAGGGCCTGCCCCTTGATGATAAATTGTCAGTAACTCAGTTTCTAGGCAGGTGTCAGCTGCTAGGGAGGATGAGCTCCCTTGGAGAGTTTCCAGAGCCCCACCAAGACCCTGCAGCTGGCTGTGAACATCCCAAATGCTGAATCTTCCTCCAGGCCTATGGGGTCCTTCAGTGAGGTTGCCTTCTTGGAGCAGAGGGATTAGAAAGAGAGCAGGACATTAGGAGTTAAGATTTAAGTGGATGGGTCTTTCGAAAACCTACCGGGAAAAAGCCCACCCAAATACTCTACCTATCCCTAGCTTGTGGGAATATGGATGATTTTGCTTTTTTCTTCTCAATGTTTTCTAAAATTTCCATGTAACATTTGTAATCATAAAAATGTCACAGAGACATGTAGATACATAAAAGCATGGGCTGGAGAGTTGGGCATGGCAAAGTCAGAAGGACAGATAGGATTTGGAAATCCACTATCTGCTTGAGTGGCCTGTGGGAACAGAGTGAGGTAGAAGGTTCTCTCTCTCAACCTTGTCAAAGTTGCTAAAACCAGGTGTGACATCATGGCAGTTCTGTCTGGTAGCCCATTCATGGAGCACTCACAGTGGGTGCTGTCTGCCCAGGCTTTCCTGACCAAGCTTCTCTGGAGGGCTTTCTATCTGGAAGAAAGGAAGCCTCAAATTATCACGAGTGATCATTGCTATGGAGACATTTCTCCCTACAGTTATTGAATGGTTTATTATAGTTCTTCCCATGGTAGTTACCAAACATAGTAGCCACCATGGTAACATTTGGCAGTGTGGTATTTGGGTTCCGTTTTTTTTTGAGCCCTAATAAATTTTGTATCCACACCAAAGAGTCTTTGCCATATACCAAGGAGTGAGTGGGTTTGGAATGGGTTCACCGTCTCTTATTTTTAGAAGGAGAAAATGTTCTCTTTTGATTTTTTAAATTAAAAAAATTTATTTTTCTTTTCTCCCTTTGATCTATTGATAATTTTTTAAATATGTTATTTTATTTATTTTTTATTTTAGCATATTATGGGGGTACAAGTGTTAAAGTTACATATATTGCCCATGCCCCCCCCCTTTTTTTTTGAGACAGAGTCTTGCTCTGTTTCCTGGGCTAGAGTGCTGTGGCATCAGCCTAGCTCACAGCAACTTCAAACTCCTAGGCTCAAGCGATCCTCCTGCCTCAGCCTCCCAAGTAGCTGAGATTACAGGCATGTGCCACCATGCCCGGCTAAATTTTTCTATATATTTTTAGCTGTCCAATTAACTTCTTTCTATTTTTAGTAGAGACGGGGTCTCGCTGTTGCTCAGGCTGGTTTCGAACTCCTGACCTTAAGTGATCCTCCTGCCTCGGCCTCCCAGAGTGCTAGGATTACAGGCATGAGCCACCATGCTGGGCAAAATGTTCTCTTTTGAAAAGGAAGGTTCTCGTTCGTGCTTCTCCAAATGTGTTAGCAGTGGGTATGTGTGGTTAATGGTGGGAACACTCAGGGCAGGGTGATGTGCTCCAGGTGAGTGTTCCTGTTGGGGGCATGAGACAGCAATAGGGAGAGAGGTTCTAGAATACTCCTTTGCCAAATGCCCCCAGGAGCAAATCAGAGCCAGCCAAGAAATAGAAGCCATTAGTGTTTCTCTTACCCAATCATCTCTTTAACCAAAGGCACCCAAAAAGAAAGGGAAGAAAGGCAAAGCCAAAAGCACCCCGATTGTTGATGGGCTGGCTCCAGAGGACATGACCAAGGAGCAGGTAAGCAGGGCCGGCTGGTGGCCGGTCTCAGGGTGTGTGGGCACTGTTCCCAGGTGTCTTCTGGAACCTCTCACTCCTGCTCTGGCTATCCCATCTTCCCTCAGCGTGGGTCCACCAGCTCTGTCCAAACCATAGCATCCCCCCGATTCATGCTCCATAGTTCCCACCAGCTCCAAAGGTTTCAGAAAAGGTGATACAGCCACAGTAAAGAACTCTTTAATAGGGTGGCAGGAATTTGGAAGGAAATGCTTTTCTGATATAAAAGCTATTTTTTATTTTCTGTATTCCCTTTTAATCTTATCCTTGTATGTACCTGATGTTTATAGAGCTCTTATCATAGTACATATGTATAGAGCATTCTCCTTTATTTTATTTACCAACATAGCAAACGGAAAGTTTTTTTGTTTTTTTTTTGAGACAGCGTCTCACTCTGTTGCCCAGGCTAGAGTGAATGCTGTGGCGTCAGCCTAGCTCACAGCAACCTCCAACTCCTGGGCTTAAGCAATCCTCCTGCCTCAGCCTCCCGAGTAGCTGGGACTACAGGCATGCACCACCATGCCCGGCTAATTTTTTATATATATATTAGTTGGCCAATTAATTTCTTTATTTATAGTAGAGACATCAGGCTGGTTTGCAATCCGCCTGCCTGGGCCTCCCAGAGTGCTAGGATTACAGGTGTGAGCCAGCGCGCCCGGCCTGCAAACGGAAAGTTTTTAAAAGGAACATGATTTATGTAATATCTTATCTCAATCTGATTAATCACTCATTGTTTTTGACAAAACTTGTAACAAGGAGTAACACTATCAGGGCTGCCTTTTTCTTATTGCCTGTGCTTATTTTGGGGAGGGGTGATGTCTTGATAGTTTCTTTGTAGGAATTATTTTAAGTCACTTGTTCATTTTGATGTAGTTAAGGGCTAGAGAACATAATTATATAATTACAGTTTTAAAAGACTCCTAAAAACCACAACATATGGTAGGCAGGGTGCACCCTCTGATCTCCACGTTGATGGATGAGGTTACTCTGTGTCGTTTGTTAGTGTTAATAAACCTTACTTTCTTTTGATAGTTTAAGATAAGAAATAAATATGAAGGAGACTAAAAGAGTCACATGAGCTGAAGTTGGAGCTGGTCACAGTTCTTTGAACAGTGGTAAAGAATGGCTTTATTTTACACACAGGAAAACCACTGACAGTTCAAGCCATGGTTAAGCAGGTGGGTGGCGGGATTGGATTTATGTTTTGGAAAGACTGTTGGAGCTCCTGGGTTGAGAATGGACTGAGTATCACATTGCCCTGTACTTTGAGCTATTTCTTGTCTCCTTGTTTAGTTCCCATCCTATGAAGACAGAACTTTGACATTGCAGTGGCCATAAGATGTGCACAGTCCACAGGGTGGGGCCTCACCATTTCACTGGGCACCTCTGAGCCACAGACTCTGAAGCCTTCAGGGTGCAGGCAGGAAGGTAGGGATGGGTAACCTGGACACTTGTGCCACACTGCAGAGGACAGCTGTAGTCATTTCACTGATGGTTGCCCGGTGGGCATTGTATTCCAGTGCTGGATGTGTTCTGATTTTTCAAGAGAAGATAGAAATCTGGATATTTATAAGAAACCTAAATATTGAGTGATGGCAAAATCTAACACCATGTGAGCAAACAGAACAGGGTAGGAACCTGGTTTAGACTATTTGAGTGACACTGGAGGTTTTTGCCATGAAGACATTTGTCATTTTGCTGAGGCACTAGTCAAATTCTGGGGTACTGTGCTGCCCTACTGGGGACCTCAGAGCCCCTTACTCTTTGCTTGGGTGGTGTCTCATCTCCCTCTTGAAGTGAGAGATGTGGTTTCCCTGTGGAGACTTTGGTTTTGAGAGAGAAAAAACTTTGCAGTAAGTGGCCTGGGGCTGTGCCCAAAAGATAACTGATTCTTAAGGGAAATGAGATCCCAAGAAAGGTAGAAGCCTGTCCTACTTTTTTTTTCTTTTTAACCTATTTGCAGATTTGCATTGGCTCTGGACCAAATCCTCTTCAGGGATAGGAATCTACTTGTTTTGTATATTTTTTGTTTAATATTATATCTGTAAAGGTGAACTTTTTTTCATTTAAGGTTATTTAGTGAACATGTTTACATGCTGCTATATCATTATCATATCTATTTTTTGGGCCATATAATATTTCTTCTAATTGATATGCTCTAATTTTTCAAACACTTCCCTATTTAAAATTGTCTTAGATCAATTCCTCTTTTTTTTTTTTTGAGACAGAATCTTGCTCTGTTTCCTGGGCTAGAGTGCTGTGGCGTCAGCCTAGCTCACAGCAACTAGCTAATCTGGAACATATTTTTCTTTCCTATTTTTGTTGTTTTTTTGAGGGTTTGTGTAAACCCAGTTATATTGAGGGATCTGCAAAGGTGGGCAGGGTGCAGGGAGTCCCGGGGGGGCCGAGTCTCAGCCCCAATTTGAATCTAATTCATATAATGTCTTGAAGCCTTGGATGGTGGGTTGATCATTCATTCAGTAATTCACTCATTCATTCTCTCACTTATCCAGCCATTCAACACTTCTTCATTGAGCAGGTGTGTGCATTGTTCTAGGCGCTGCAGTACAGAGTGAACGAAACAGTTCTTCCCCCTTCATGGAGCTCAGGTTCTAGTGGAGGATACCAGCATTAAAGGAAACACATATGGCAACGAGATTCTTGGGTTTGTTTTTTTTTTAGACAGAATCTCGCTCTGTTTTCCAGGCTAGAATGCTATGGTGTCACCCTCGCTCACAGCAACCTCAAACTCCTGGGCTCAAGC